CTTTGAGAATTGGAAACTTTAAACACATAATAATCCAAGGACGAAGATTTCGAGGTGGCTCGGACGTGAGATTGTTGTGGCTGGCCTTCCCCCTTCACCTGATGTAGGACCCGTACATATTAATCTCTGTAGTCAATTAAATATTATTGTTAAACCAATTATTACATAGCCTTATGTGTGAATTTATACGGAAATCAATCAAGTAAATAAAATTATCTGTTTTGAACGATTAATTTATCAAAGTGGTCGAAACCTTTTGAAGATTACTATTTAGCGTTTTATTAATTCTAATTAAACAAGAAAAACTTGTGTATTGTGGTAGAGACTGTCTCTTTGTGGTTTTATTTGAATAACTTAGAATACAGTGCCAGTGTATAACTCAGCAGGGTGCCCAACTTAAAAATGTAAAAAAATCCACAAATTAGCAAATTTAAATCCACAAATTGTCCACAATAGAGTTATATAAATCCCCAGAAAATATACATTTTTTGCTGAAAAATAGCTATTTTTGAGACTATTTCTAACCTAATTTTTTAATTTGCATTAATGACACATTCTAACTTAAAAGTTCAAATATAAAAACTGTATTGCAATGGGAGCAATTTCAATGTTTCCTTATTGTCACGCATATTGGAACTGATACAGAATGCTGAAAGGTTGGAGAAAAGCTTAAAGGGGTAGGAAAAAGCTGAAAGAGGTCCAGGGAAGAACTAAGATGAAATATTATGAAGGAAGGGGGAATGTTAAGGATTGTGTATAGGTACTGGGATGGAGGACAGCGAGAGCAAGGTGTTTATCATGAAGAGAGAGTTTTTATGGATAATGAAAAAAGATGGGGATTGTGTAATAAACACAGAAATTAAATTACGAATTTCAAAAATCAATTTCTTGCGCTATTTTTTCAAATCGTATCATAATAGACATACACTTAAAACAATCAACAGTTTGAACCAACTAATTCTGTGATTTCCAAACTGTAATCTGCTTCATTATTTTTCTACCTCCAAAATAACTAGGATACAGAATTTTTACACAATTTTGCTTAGATGAAAGTAAATAAAACCTAAACGAAGCAAACTTGAAACTTAAAACTAGAATTAAAGGGACTGTATACCCTCGTGCAGGAAACTAGAATTAAAGGGACTGTATACCCTTGTGCAGGAAACTAGAATTAAAGGGACTGTATACCCTTGTGCAGGAAACTAGAATTAAAGGGACTGTATACCCTTGTGCAGAAAACTAGAAATAAAGGAAATGTATACCCTTGTGCAGGAAACTAGAATTAAAGGGACTGTATACCCTTGTTCAGGAAACTAGAATTAAAGGGACTGTATACCCTTGTGCAAGAAATTAAATTAAAGGGACTGTATACCCATGTGCAGGAAACTAGAATCAAAGGGACTGTATACCCTTGTGCAGGAAACTAGAATTAAAGGGACTGTATACCCTTGTGCAGGAAACTAGAATTAAAGGAACTGTATACCCTCGTGCATGAAACTAGAATTAAAGGGACTGTAAACCCTTGTGCAGGAAACTAGAATTAAAGGAAATGTATATCCTTATACAGGAAACTAGAATTGAAGGAATGTCGACCTAAATTCGAGACTGAGCAAAAAGAATAAAAAAGCATTTGTTAACTACAGTGCGTCACGATAAACACGAAAAATTTAAGTTGATTCAGTATTGTATTAAAAACACTATTACTAGACATCCATTTTGAATAGGATACTTTAAAAAGTTTGATGATGGTATTTTCATTTTATTAAAGTATATTTAGTCGTCTTTAACTTGCCATTTTCTGTGCGGCATCAATAGATATTTTTTATTCAGGTTTTTCTTAAAAGATATTTAAAGTGAAAAGATAAGTTTATGCAGAATCAGTTTCCACCAATTGCGGTCGGAGAAAATTGTTAGACAAGACGTCTTATGTAAATAAAGTTTTGTAGTATTTTTTGGGGGTTCTGCCAAAACTTTATCAAATATATTTTAAATATATTTTAATCTATTTTAATATTTAATATACATTTATTTTTGGATTTCCTACAGGACAATATAGAAGAAGGGGGGGAGGGGGTATTTACAGTTATATATCGAGTATTATTAGTTGAACAGGTTGACCTGCGGATTTATGGTAGCTGTACCTATGCAGGGATAAATAATACGTCAAAGGTTCAAACATAGAAAATAAATTTGTTAAAACTAAATTTTTTTTGTACAAGCTATTTTTTTGAATTGCAGATTTTGATATATTAACCCCTGAAATGTGTTTTTTATTCTTTAAATAGCTTGGGTAAGGATCATAACAATTCTAACATTAGCGTTATATTGGATCGATACAGTTGGTCAGTTGAACCTGAACATAATAAAAGTAAAGATGTTTAAAGTTTTCCTCCTTCTTCTTTTCTCAACAATAGCTCATGGTCAGCTCACACAAGCGCCGTTCAGGGCATTGAGGGTAAATATTTAAATTAATATTAGTTCAGGGCATTGAGGGTAAATATTTAAATTAATACTAGTTCAGAGCATTGAGGGTAAATATTTAAATTAATATTAGTTCAGGGCATTGAGGGTAAAATTATAAATTAATATTAGTTCAGAACATTGAGGGTAAATATTTAAATTAATATTAGTTCAGGGCATGGAGGGAAAATATACAAATTTATATTAGTTTAGGACATTGAGAGTAAATATTTGGGTTAATATTAGTTCAGGACATTGAGGGTAATTATTTAAAATAATTTTAGTTCAGGGCATTGAGGGTAAATATTTNGCTCCAATAAGTTTATTTATGTACAGGAAGTACAACCTCCAATACCCTAGTTTATTTATGTACAGGAAGTAAAACCTCCAGTACCCTAGTTTATTTATGTACAGGAAGACCCAAAAAGCTGTGGAATGGAAAGAATACATTCAAGTGCATCTAGTGTGTATTTGATCATGATATAATTAGCAAATACAGGGTGTCTCACGAAACAACAGTTTGGGAATAGTTTGGAATGTCTTCTTCCATGACACTGTATTAGATATTTTAGACATTTTGAAGTTTACTTCGCTACACAAATCTTTTACTCAAATTTATATTAGTTTTAAATCAATTTTACTATAATATTACTGTAATATAAAATTTCTTATTATCATCCTTTGTTATTGGACAAATTAAAAAATTATGAAAGATAACATTTTAAACTGTTCACCAACTGTCATGTTTCGTGGGACACCCTGTAGTTTAACATTGGGTTGAAAATCAAGTTATTCAGTGAAGTGCCTGTGTGTACACTGCAGAATTGCTTTATTTATATTGATCGACTTTCTAAAATCAGAACTTGAGGTTAAAAGTCGTCTTCCAATTCCAAGTTTTATGGGCCTATTGTATTAAACTCTAGATCCTTTAGATGATTAATTTTACCTATTTCTAGGCAATGGCAGAGGAAATGACTCATTTGACTGGGGAGGAAATATTCTTCGAATTCTTCGTAAAAATGCTGGAATTCCTTGGACTCATCGTAGCCGACCTTCTCCTTCATTAGACAAGGATATTTGACGCAGTTCTCGGTTGAAATGACGACTATCCTCCAAATATGTCGTATTCCTCAAATAAGCTTATATTCTTGAAAAATGTACTAACGGAAATGTACAAACAAAATAACCCCACTTCCGTGAAAAAAATAAGCTCTAGCCTCAAAGAGTTTTTATTCCTAATTTAATGCTTCAGGCGATTTAAAATCCTGCAGCATTCTGCAGAAGACGACATTTATTATTCCAATCTTCTACAAAATCCATTATATGTCTCCAATGGAGATTCCGCCCAAGATCAATCAAAATGTGTGGAATTATTTATTATTGACGACCGTGTATGTAAAATTTATATATAGAAATAAAAACTGGAATAAAATTTTGTCCATTAATCATCTGTTCTAGCCTGACCTAAGATTTTTTTGAACTATGGAATTTACAAACTTGTAAGGCTAGGCTAGCTGAGCAAGTGGAGTCGAATGAAAATAAATAGTGTTTTGTATATGGAATCTTTTTAATCCGTAAAAACACGCGGGGAGTTAAAACTACTCCATATTTTCGTAAAGATGACTTGATTATTAATTAAGATCCTTCCAGTCGGTTTCCATACCATAATTTCACAAACTGCGAATACAAATTTCTAATTCATAATGCCGTTAAAGTTGTAGATCTTCCTTCACTAAACCAAATTGAATTATTTTGAGATTTATTTGTTGGTAAGAAGCAGATTCTCATATTTACATCTAATGTTCAATTATTTATGAATAATAAATTGAAAACATACGAGTTTGACCAATTTTGATTAATTTTTCACATTTAAAAAAAAATTGTAACAGATACTTAAGAAGAGTTTAACATTTTAATATTAATAAATTACAATAAATTATCAAATTATTAATACTGATACAGGCAAATAGATTACCAAGTACGATAGGTGGCAACAGAGAAATGGACCAATTTTACACGACGTCACAAACGTCCAATATAACAAGGAAAACGAAATTTTCTGACATTAGTTGACATGTTTTCCAAAATTATATAAAAAAGAGTAAAAACAGAAAAAAAGACCTAAACTTGCACTTATCTTCGCGTAAGATTAGCAGTAGCACTTTATTCTAAAATTTTCACTTTTATTAATACTTGAGACGTGAGAGTACAACTGTACTATGAGTGTACAATTCTACGTTACCATCTATTGTACTAGCATCTACTTAGATACAGGAAATTTTTTATATCTTTAGAGGACTCTTTACGTTTTTTTAAAGTAACCCTCTATGATATTCTTTTAACCTTTGTCTTAACAAAAATGCCGAAGATATCCTTGTTTATCCAGCTAAAAATTGGTAATTCAGAATGTAAAATCGACAATTTAGAACAACGACGATATCTTCCTCATTGATACTCAGATAGAGATAAGATGGATACCTTGTTGCTTGCGAGTCGGATATGACATGCCAATCTTTAAATTGAGGGTCAATAGAAATTACTTCTATTCAGAAATATTAATTTTTTTAACACATAGAATTTTTTTTGTAGCAAAACCAGTACTTTCAAATGCAGATGCGTTAACTAGTAATTTGAACTTTTTAAACCAATAATTATTAAAAAAAAAACCCGGTCATTTTATGAAGTTTGAGCCGACAAGTTCTGCTTAATATTAGTGCAAAGGATTAATTTGTTTCTTGGCTTTTCGCTACTGAAGACGATTTACCAAGCTGATACTTGATTTAATAAATAGCAAGACGCAGACGTAGTTCAACCACTTCTCTTAGGTATTCTGCTACTACTACGGGTTCAACTAAGTCCACGTAGTTCAACTACTTTCAGTATTTCCTAAGCATTGGAAATAATAAAAATTGGTGTTAAAACTGTTTTAACTAAATTCAAAAAAGAAGCGCTGTCCATGCGAATAATACTTAAAATAATAAATAATTTAACTACAAGAATTGAGATCCAAATGAGAATTTGAATCCTGGTTTTCCGAATCCAGGATATAGAGGAACAGTGTAGTTTAGCTCGAACCGTCCAATATCTACAATAATTTAGACATTAATTTTGAACATTCAGTGTCGTGGACCCACACCCCTCCATAGTTTTGTTTGGAAACCTCGTTTGACTATCTATCTATCCTAACCTCACTTGGAATAGTATTATCACAAAATGTTAAAAAAAATTTAGTAAGGGGGTCCAGAAGAACTAAGGACCGCGCAAATTTGTGAAATTTTGTAAAAAAAAATCTGTTCTTCCAATATTTGACGTATAATCTTTTTTGCAATGTAAATGTAAAAACCTTTTAAAAAACAAATCATAATTTGAAAAAGGCTTAATTCCCAGATTTTGATTTTACGACATAGGACTAGAAAATGAAAATACAATTTTCTGTCATTCCTCCTTGTTTAATGTGATTTTAAAATCTAAAAATGGCATATTTAGGATTTAAGACATTTTAACATTTTTACAAAATGATTTTAGAATAAAATTTTACACAATACAAGATCTGATATAGGTATCCAAATTAGGAATTATGTATGTATGATTTATTCATTTTCAGTTCTCTGTACGCTAAGGTAGTTTCAATATGATTTATTTTCCTATTAATATTTTGAGATTCTATTTCTCTAGTTTACCTAACCTGAAATTTTTCCAATAATTCCAATCCCAACATAAGTGTTTACATCTTTCCTCATTATTGAAAGCTGTCCGTCATTTCTAGAAGGAAATACAATTATAATTTTTAAATCTAAGAGTGCGGGATAGTTTCATGAGATTGTGTCATCATCATCGTCCGTCGTCCGTCAAAACCAAAAACGAAATAACTTAACTTAATACACATGAATACCTGTGTGAGTGTGCAGTGATGAAGCCATGAACCCGAGTGTGTTTACATAACATTGAGTGGTCTCGTAACAATGGTAACTGAAATGTATAAACGTCTAGATAGTAAATTATCTCAAGTTTAGACCTTAAACAAAACAAGACAAATTAACTTCTTGGATTAAAAAAAAGAATAAACATTATTACGTGTACAGTGAACGTGTAGATAAAATTATTGTTCAGACAGAATTGAAATTAAAAAACTAAAAAACAGGTTTTTAGCAGAGCTTCCTTTAAAGATTTTTAACATGTCGGAATGTGTTAAAAGATTCCTTCAATAAAAAATAAAAACTCCTATTTTAAAATTGAATTGTTTTTAAATATTTAAAAAGATGAAAACCTTGGAAATAATTGCAGCTGTTACTACTGCTGCCGTTAAATCACCTAAAAAATCAAATCAAATCAAATCAAATCATGCTGTCAGGGAGTTCTACTATGATAAAGCTTTTAATAATAATAATAAAAATAATAATAATAAAACTAATTATAATAATAATAATAATAATAATCTATATCTATATGTAAATTTGGCTTGTCTGTCTGTTTGTTTGTTGGTATCCAATAAACGTCAAAACGGCTGAACCGATCAGGCCCAAATTTTTTGTGGGACATCACGTGACCACAGGGAAGGTTTATGAATGATAAAAAAAACGTGTTTTAAAGGTTTTTAATTTTGTAAAAAATTTAAATTCTTGAAAATCCGCGAATTTTTTTTAAAAATCCGCACAATTTTTTTCTTCTTTGTTTTAAATTGTAAACAAAAAGAACATGTTCACAATTTAAATAGTATATATACATTGTTTAAAAGCCTAGTATATATACATTGCCTATCTGTTTGTTTGTTTGTATCCAATAAACTTATAAACATATGAAGCGATCGGGCCCAAATTTTGTGTGGGACTTCACATGTCCCCAGGTAAGGTTTATGGATGATAAAAAAAAAAATTGCCTACAGCGAATTCGATTTTTATTACATTTTGATAATCCACGACATTTTTTTTTAAAAACCGCGAATTTTTGTTTGTTTTTGTTTTACAGTGTATTACAAGGAGAAAATGTTCACAATTGAAATAGAAGATGGGCGCGAAGCATCTAGCCTAGTAATAATAATACTCCACCTGCATATAGGTTTGGTTTGTCTGCCCCCCGGAATACTAAAGCTGATCTCGAACCAGAAATATAACTTAAAGGAACCTGAAAACAAAGAAAAACACTCAACTATCATAAAACGGAATTGTATTTGTCTCTTTAAGAATGAAAATGCCCTGGCCTATCGTTAGAACTGACGAGGATCAACCCAGACTGAAATATATTTTCAATAAAATGTGGAACTAACATCTACTTTTTTATTCTACAGAGGTTTGGTCCATCACCATCTCCGAATTTTAAACTTTAAAAGCGTTTACTACAAAAAAATATCAAGAAAAACGGCAAATTTTTCACACTCTACTATATTCCTCCTAAAATCATCATCGGCCTCTAGACTCTCGAATTGCTACTGATATTCCAGGCAAATCTACTGATTTATAACAGCAGTCCGCAGCTCTTGATCAAAACAACAACTAATTTTAATATCTTATCTGTGTCATCAACGTGTAGCAGGAATTTTTTGGTAAAATTGACTAAAATTACTTTAAAATAGTTTGGACTTTTTTGTAGGTATTTTCTAAAGTAAAGTGTAAGATTATTAGAAATTAACGGAACGGACAGGCTCATTAAAGAGCCGTTTGTCTTTAAATAAAATCACCGTTAATTAACGATCTTGACTTTTTAACGACCTTAATACCTGGTAGATTTACCAAATACTCGTATTCTGCTTTTAACTGTAACGGTTGATAATTTCGTTAACGAAAGTAATAAGTTACATAATGAATGGTTTTGTGGTTTAATGCTCAGAAATACAGAAGTTGACACTCAGAAACTTTAATATGCATGGTATATTTGAGTATCCCTGCTGTGTACTAGTACCTGCAAATTTGAGTATCTCTGCTGTGTACTAGTACCTGTATATTTGAGTAACCCTGCTGTGTACTAGTACCTGTATATTTGAGTAACCCTGCTGTGTACTAGTACCTGTATATTTGAGTATCCCTGCTGTGTACTAGTACCTGTATATTTGAGTATCCCTGCTGTGTACTAGTACCTGTATATTTGAGTATCAATGCTGTGTACTAGTACCTGTATATTTAAGTATCCCTGCTGTTTACTAGTACCTGTATATTTGAGTATCCCTGCTGTGTACTAGTACCTGTATATTTGAGTATCCCTGTTGTGTATTATTAGTTGTATGAGTTAAGAATCCAGAACAGCTTAAAGAGACAGATTTCAAGAGTGGATACAGGGCAGAGAATCCAAATTTAAACTGAACATAATAAAAAAGTTTTAAACATAAAAACAAACATGTAAATGTCGCATTTTGGCTTTTAATTATAACATTGTAATAATTCTAATAGACTTAAGGATTACTATATATGTCGTCTTCATTTTCCAGTATTCTGTAGATGAAATTATTTTGAGACATGACTACGATTGACACTGGCAGCCAGATTTTATATTTCATGATAATTCACAGTAGTAACTTTAACCACACCTGAACCTTGTCCCAGAAAATTTTGGAACGATTTTTCTGTAAACCGGAATTTCCCGGACCTACATTCCGGAACTTTCCGGAATTATGGAACAGGGTTCCGAAAAAAACCGGTTTACGGATAAAAATCCTAGGCATGTCCGTCTTTGTATGGAAGGTCACATGAGATTACGCTTACAGTCCCTTTTAGCGCGGAGTATTCCAATAATAAATTATTAATCATTTGATTTTGCACTTCTAAAAAATTATAGTGGGGGATCATTTATTACAAATGTAAAGTTGAAACTATACAGAACAGTGAAAAATATCAAAATATCAAAGTGAAGGTAAACTATATCTGGAATATTAATAACAAGGCTTACATTTCAACTTTTATTTGTAGTTCTATCTGCGAGCATTTTATCTTCGTGCTACAGGCTTGAGTTGCTTCAAAAATGTTGGGACCAATCGGCTTAGCTGTTTTGACGTTCATTGGATACAAACAAACAAAAAAAAGACTAGCACAGTAAATGTATATATATATATACATATACAATGATAAATCTTATAAAATTAATCTCAAATATTTTTTTTTATACTGTAACAAAGAAAACTTTAGAACTAGTGCAATTAAAGATAGCTCATAGTCGCCCTTTCTTGAGGATATATTTTTATCTAGAAAACCAACGGTGAACGTTGAACCTTGTTATATATATATAGATATATTTCGAAAGTACCTGATGAAATAGTATAGAACTAGACCAAGGCAGTAAACCAGCAGTATGAGAAATAAAACTTCTAAAAGAATAAATGAAAAAATTATGTACAGTATACAATTTTGTCTAAATCCACATAGGGATGAATCTTTAAAATTTACAGTTCAATTGTTATTTACAGTGTACGGTTTACAATTATACCTAAACCTATGGAAAGTGGATTTAGGGATGGATCTTGAAAGTTTATAGTACAATTATTGTGAATAAAGTACAGTGTACAATACATACCTAAACCTATGGAAAGGGAGTAGGCATTAAAACTATTATGTGCATTGTACAATATTACCTGAACTTTTGTAAAGGGAGTAATGATGAATCTTACAAGTTTATATTTAAACTATTATGTACGGTGTATAATATTACATAAACCAATGTAAAGGGAGTAAGGATGAATCTTACAAGTTTATATTTAAACTATTATGTACAATGTACAGTGTACAATATTACCTAAACCCATGTATAGGGAGAAGACTTGAATCTTGAAAGTTGATATTAAAACTATTATGCAGAGTTGCAATTAGCTGATCCCCGCATCTGGTAGATACAGGATGCCACCTTGAAACAACATGAATATTTGTCATTAACAAGTTGTAATTGGTCTCACTAAATTTAAAAGATATTTGGCTTTGGGCATTAGGCCGTTTAAAGAACTTAGTCAGCACGTTTTGTGACAAAGAGTCAAAACGCTATAATAAGTAAGCTTTAAGTCAGGAAGGTTTAATGCAAAACGTCCGCACGTTTCGAGGTTTCTGAGATAATAATTTGAAACGTTTTGGAACAATAAGTTATCATGTTTTGAAAAATCAATACAGCAAGTTTTAAACGTTTAATCTTTTAAAAACGCGAGAAGACAATACGCCTGGACACTATGAGGATAAAACAAGCCAGGATGTTTTTTAGCCATACGGGCGATAAGTTCTAATAGACAATATTTAATCGATATACAGAAAAAGGAATTTACGCGTTTTGTTCAAATCATGAATTTCAGGGATTGCATAAGGCATCCTTAATACGGGTTGGAGTTTCAATCCCTTTTACTCCCACTCCTATGTCCATTTCAGTCTAACATAGTTGAAGGTGACTGTTCAGTATTTAAACCTACAGGTCGTTGTACTTTGTCTGTAGGTTCATTGTTAATAGTAATAATAATAATACCTGTGTATATTATTAGTCCTAATTGACTACTCAAGTCTGGTATAGTTGCTAGTGTTCTAATCCTAGTCTAAAGTCACCTGTGTATATTATTATTCCTAAGACTACTAAGGTCTAGTTTAGTTGATAGTGCTCTAGTCCTAGTCTAAAGTATACCTGTGTATATTACTAGCCCTAAAACTACTTAAGTCTAGTACAGATTGAATAGTGCTCTAGTCCTAGTCTAGAGTATACCCGTGTGTGTATATTACTAGTCCTAAGACTACTGAAGTCTCGTATATTTGACTAGTGCTCTAGTCCTAGTCTAGAGTATACCTGTGTATATTACTAGTCCTAAGACTACTGAAGTCTAGTATAGTTGAATAGTGCTCTAGTCCTATCCTGGAGGAAACACGGATACGTGATGTATTTATTCTAGCTCCAGCCGACAATACTTTTTTCACCTAAACATGGATAAACTATTACAGGGTGAACCAAAAACATGAGATTTAATAACTCCCTGGGATTCAAAATTTAAAATTTAAATAGTCATCAATTGGGACTAAATACAGTAAAAATTATTTAATAATGTCACAATTTAAAGGAACCAGTTGTTAAGCCTGTGCTGCCTGTACTATTCTTTTAGGGGCGTTAAAATTGCGGGGGGGGGGGGGGGATTCTTGAAAGTATATATCCTGGCAGTGACGTCACGATATTACCTGGTTAACCGGCATATCAGATAGCGGATTTCTGCTTTCAGACAGTGTCATGTAAACTCTGCTTTCTGCCACAATTTTTCAAAAAATGTGAATTCCATAATAAAATAATTTGGGTAGACACTAGACACAGACAGATCTGAGACATTTTTAACTGGTTTGTTAACATTTCGATCAAAGGATATATTGTAATTTTTATTGCCACTTCTATATATCATAAACCTTTTTTTTGAGAGGTGACAAATCTTATAACAATTCATGTGCTTGTCAATTTTTTTAAATAAAGAATATTTAAAATATTTTGTAAATACCCATTTCGTCCGATGAAGTAGCCAAACCTCCCATTTATAAAGAGGCATGTCCGATTCACAACGGTACCCTATAAACTTTTACAGTGTAAATTGTACATTCTGCATCCTTTAAACCTTTACAGTGTACATTGTACATTCTGTACCCTTTAAACCTTTACAGTGTACATTGTACATTCTGTACCCTTTAAACCTTTACAGTGTACACTGTACACTTTGTGCTAGTTAACACTTGGCACTTAATTTCCCACTTCACAAATAAGAATATCTACGAAATCCTTGATTAGAAAAGGTTTAAGGGTATCGTAGTAAATCGAATATGCCATTCTACAAGGTCAATAATACGCTTACAGTCCCTTAAAGTCGCTGTTTCTTCCTATTTATTGAGTTCCTTGACTAATATTATGAAGTGGAGAGTAGAAGGATAGAATAGTTTGTTTGGATTTAAACAATCCTGTCGTTCTCTCCAGTTCTATTCTCTCTCCTCCGCCCTGCAGGTTGTTTAATCCTCCTCGTACTGCTAAACTGACCTCGTTCTCCTGCACAATAATCATCAATATTCTGCTCTCACCCTACTATTTTTTTTTCAAGGAAAACTTTTCAATTTTGACCGTCCAAAAACTAAACAAGGGCCTTTTGTGAGCTGTCACAAAATCTGACGAGCCCGATATTCACATTAATTGGATTCAAGACAAGCCAAATACATAAATAAAATACTAGCTCAAGTGCCCGGCGTTGCCTGTGGAATAATAACAAAATTAAATGAAATAGAAAATTCGAACTTCGATTTTTTTATTTTGAAAAAAAGTATTTCGAATTGTTATCCCGGGGATACCCATGGGTTCTCTTAAAAAAATCAGCCAATTTGGTCCAGCAGTTTGGCCAGCTATATCTAGCATAAAAATATATATACATATATATACATAAATATATATGAGCGAAGAGCTTTATTATATAGAATTAATAGAACTAATTAATTATCTACCTGGTTTCCAGGCACTATGCCTAGATTGATAAAAACAGATCCAATCTCTTCCACTTTAATATTAACCTTAACAAGAAGACATCAAATCATCTCAAATCATGAAAAGCAGAGTTTTTTTTACTGTTCAGAGTTCAAAGCTCCAACGTACAGGGGCGGATTCAACCAATATCTCAGAAGGGGACCTATACTTTTTTTGGACCCTCCCCCCCTTAAAATTGAACAAAAAGCAAACTCAAATTCCACTATAAACATTTTTTAAAATAAGCTCAGTTTCTTTTTATTTTTGTCTCCGAATCTTTAAAAAATGCCCCCAAACTAAATTTCTTAGATAATGTCTCAAAATTAAGAAGTTTTTCCGGAGTGGGTACAAAAATCCCAATAGAAAAACGCCCAATAAAAAAACGGCCAAAAACAAAAGCCCCATGTAGGAAAACGCCCAATGCAACAAAACGCCGAATTACTTAACGCCCAATGTTACAAAACGCCCATTGAAACAATTTCAGATAGAATCAATATTGGCTATAATCTAATGCACGTCTGCACGTTGAAATATTTTTTTCTTTCATTGCTTATTCTGAAGGATAAAGGGGGGAGGGGAATTCAAGAAGAATTGAATAATTTACCTGGTATGATTTATGATTTATATCCTTCTCATTTTCTTCTCCTGTATCCTTGTCTCCTTTATCCTTGTCTATTGTATCCACATATATATCAACTAAACGGAAACATCCAAGATTTTTCAAATCATTCTGCACTACCTAGACAACATTTTCTTAGATCTCATCCTAAAATGGAAGGACCAGGGGGGGGGTAGTTTAAAGTGAGTTTAACAAAAATCCTTTTATATTCAAGTTTAAAGGTGAGAGCAATGACTTTACCGGAAAATGTTGAACCTAAACTCACCTTTGTTGCTTGAACAATGTCCTGAAAGGTTTCAGCTTTAAATAACGCTCCCAATCGGTCCAAAACTAAGATATATTTAAATATTATCACAAAAAATGTGTTTCAAACTACAGGGTGTCCCACATATATTGGATCGTGTATAGATCTATATTGCAATTTTCGGGACTAATCAGAAAATTCCTAAAGTATTGTATAAGACTTTTGCATGGAGAGAATACTAGGTATTCCGAGAAATTTTGGCGTCATAGCTTGAAGATAATCCAATATGATATGGAAGCTAAGCTAGCTGTAGCTCAATTAACTTCATATTTCATCTTTAAAGGGTGTAGTGTAACAAATACAAAATGAAACAGATCCTAATCACTGGCTTGTGGAAGACGATGCCTGGCCGCGTTAAACTAGTTCCACAAAATTCAACAGAATGAGATAGAACGGATACGGGGCATAGTACTGATAAAACATCTACACGTGTGATTTCGATATTGACTCTAGTTCTGAACCCTCTAGTAATAAGTTATAAGAAATATATATATACTGGAAGTTGTTTATGCGTTGTTATTTAGAGTCTGACTCACGTCCTCTATAGGCTAAATATATATTTTCATAAATGTTCTAAGCCTATTTTAAGAAATAGATTAATTATATAAGAAATCTTTTCCGATCGTGTGAAATTTCATATTTAAGAAGACGACAACAATTCAAGCCTGCACTGCACTATATTGATAAAAAATAGTACCTTTAATAAAAAGTTTACGAATGAAAATGTATATTTATTTTACCTAAACTGTCTTTAGTTTTACCAAGTCCTTCAATGTTTACTCGTTCAATTCTAGCCTTCAGATTAATCATCCTGCTCCTATAGTAGAAATATATTAAAGTGACGGTAGACATTACTTCAAGGGGCCCTCCAATTGTGAGTGTCCTCTCTAATTCACAACAGTACCCTTCAAACATTTGTCTTATTAAGGAAGACTTAATATCCTAGGTTTTTTTAAGCTAAAAATTAAGTTTTCACTTAATGTTTTATTGTGCAGAGACAATGATGAAATCTGTGAGAGTTTATCACTATTTAAGATTACAATATAGTTTTCAGTACAGTAAATAAAAAATATATCTATCCGTTCACTTACAAAAATGTCTTAATTGGATGATTTTCTCAAATTATATGTTCCGAAACAGAGACGAGAAACAAACTAATCTATATATAAAAACTTGTCTGGGTGTCTATTTGTTTGAATCCAATAAACGTCAAAATAGCTGAAACGATTTTGTGTGGGACCTCACATGGCCCCAGGGCCGGAAGGTTTATGAATGATCAAAATTTCAAATATTTGTCTCCATCAAAATTCGATTTTCATTAAATTTTTTGAAAATTTTGAAAATTCAGGATTTTTTTTTGTTAAAATCCGCGAACTTTTTTGTTTTGTTTTACGATGTACACAAAGAGAACATGTTCACAATTGAAATAGAAGATGTGCGCGAAGTGCCCTAAAAGACTACCTAAATCTTTCTGCTCTTTGTTCTTTCCGTGCTTGCTTTAATTTCTTTATTCTTAGTTTCTTCTCCTTAATCTCTCGAATAAGTTGATTTTTTTTCTCTTTAAGCTCATCTTCTTCAGATAGATGGGGGCGAAGGTTAAATAGCCCCCACCACATATATCTGAAAAAATGCTTAATTCTGTGAATGGTGCTTTCGCGTCTTAGAAGGATTTGAAAGGTATTAATATCACGTGTTTTATCACAATCTTTGAGGATTGAATTTTAAAGAAAATAAAGGCACACTGTTGAGTAGCTGTTTTGGATAGTGGTCTCTTGAATAAATTAGAGAGCAAAGACGACAGGAAATTAATTTGAAATTTAATGAAATCAAACATCTTGCAAATATCTTTGAAAAACTGTTAATCATAACTATATTCCAAACTATTTTGGATGACTACTGTACGAGGAAATTCTAAACGGAAATCATGACAATCTAGATTAAATCCATGACATCCTCCTCCTCCTCTTCCGCCAACGCCTTCTTGTTCTTTCCCCCGACCAGATCTTGAAGGAAAGCATCTGCTACATCTTCTGCTTCTCCTCCGAACACCTCTACAGCCCGCAGCAAGCCTACACAAGTAAAACATTTTTGTAAACAGCATTATGGTAGGCTTTTCGCAGAAATAAAAAACAAAAAACAATTAAAAGATTTCTACAGTAGTAGGAAATAGCTTTTCGCTTTGTAAAATATATATTTATGTTCTACAGCAGCAGATAAAGCTTTTCAGCTTACGATAATTCAAAATCATTTCGTTTCAAACCCGATCTTTAATTGTTCCAAAACAATGCATTAATTAACCAAAAGGTTTGACGGTTATTTATAAACTTTTTTGCGTGGTTCAATCACAAATCTAAAAATATGCACAACAAAAGGAGAATTTTTATGCTTGAAGAAAAATATTTGGACGATTTTTAAATTTATACCTCTACCCTTATTCTAAGAAGTTAGTAGTTCTCAGTAAGGTAAATGTGGAGAACTAAAGTGGATTTTTTATTTTTCTGTTAGGTACTAGGACTGCTACAGTCGCTACAGGGTTACCCACAAAGGATGAGACTTCAGACGACTGTCTATTTCCTTATTTTCATGGTTTCCTGCAACTATAAACTTATTTTTTTCTTTTCTAAATTATTAAATAAGCCACTTAAAGACAACATTCAAGGCAGAAGACTTAATTTAAACTTGGGATTGTCAGATTTAAAGAGTTTCAAATCGTCTTTACAGTCTCGTCCTTTGTGGGTCTAGTTCTTACCGAGTTCAGCATCAATAATGTCCTGTCTCAGTCTCTCCCCAACCTTTACAACTAGACTCCTAGAGAGATTAGTTCAGGAATTCATTGATAGTAATTAATAAGACGACATTTAAAAATATTGTTTTCTCAACTGAGAAGTGTCTGTATTGGATCGTTAATAGCTCTAAATTGCGATTTTCGGGACTAATAAGAAAATTTAAGAGGAATAAACCATTTTCAAAATTGTAAAAAGCTAATTTAAAAATTTGCATGCAGAAAATGTGGTATGTGCGTATTTTGGCATTAAAGCTTGAAGATAATCTAATATGATATTGGACGCTCTGTATAACATCGTTATGTATTTTATTGAGTAATGAAGAGTAGATAAATATTTTTCTCATTCCAAATTTTTATCTTTATTTGAAATTTAACAATTTTATACTGAACCCCCGCCCGGCCTGTACTTAAATGCTCTCCTGAAATGTCTGTGCTTTCTATATATATATTTTGCTTTTTTGTTTGTCAGATCAGGATCCAAATGTCAAAACCGCTGTAAAAATTGGGCTCAATTTTATTTGCCCCAGAAAAATATCGACATTTTATTATTTTTAAAATTAAAACAATTTAAGCAGAAAAACTTGGTTTTAAATGGAGAACGATGAAAAAAAGGGCGACTTAAACAACAGTTAAAAGCTAAAATTGTTAATAGAAAAGGTGCGCGAAGCGCCCTTAAAACACTTAGAAAAAATTGAATATTGAGAACTTACCTAATATAGTTGTTGTACTGTTCCGCCTTCTTTCTATCCTTGCAGGCTTCCCTTAATAGTGGTAACATTACTTTTTATAGGGAACTCTGTCTTTTCATAATTTCAAGCCAACCTTACAAATATAAAGCTAGAGGGAGACAATTTATATATATTTAAACAATTTTGTTAAGAAACTCATACAACATTTTGGAAATCCCAGATCTTTATATATTAATTTTTAACAGTATGATACTAGCATGGTACAGATTTACAAACTAATGCTGCGTGGCTGAAAGACGATTTTATCACCGTATAAAAACACTGAAAATTGAAATTATAAACAAATGAACAACCTGTATGCTTTTAAGCAGTTCACAATTTTGGAATTAAGATCGGTACCGAATGCACTTGCCAACATTCTTTCAATTACTTGCTCCATTTGCAAACCTATTAGTATAATCATTTTGTATGAATTAAAATCAAATGAAAACATTATCACCATTATCACCATTATCACCATTATCATCATTATAACCATTATCATCATTATCATCATTATCATCATCATCATCATCATTATCATCATTATCATCATTATCATCAATATCATCAATATCATCATTATCATGATTATCATCATTATAATCATTATTATCATCATCATCATTTCATTTTTTACCTGTAACTTCTATACTAGCCCCAGTAGTGACACTATGAGAGAGAAGATAATTAAAATCTTGAACAGGATTGATTGATCCTACATAAGTAGCTTTCACCTCCTGCTCCTCCTCCTCATCCATCTTCATCATCTTCTTGACAGGTTCCTCCTCCTTCTCCTCCCTTGCTCCGAATACCTTCTCCCCGGTCCTCTTAGATACCCTGAGCTCGACCTCCTCCAAGGGGAAAACCTGACGAATCCGGGTGAGGACAGGAGCCGCCTGTTCGAGGAGAACTGAAGGAGGATTTAGATTACGTAGTAGACGATATGGTACAGAGGGAACCTGGAAATACAAAAATATCAACTTTTTTCAGGATATAAACTTGTCAAGGTCAAACCCCTAAAACTTAATCTCTAAAGATTGAAATTAATACAACACTTGCTAAACAATAAAAGATTAGAACGTAAAGAGACGATGCAGAAATCCAAGTGTACTATAACACCTACCCAGGCTGATAATAATTAGGTGTTATGTTCTAAATAGTACTGTGATGAATTTAGACGGCTAGGAATTCAGGATAGAACAAAGGGAGGGACCAGACATATACTTTCTACTAATGTCTTTTGTTCACAATAAATTGAATTCCATGGTTAGATTATTTCTGATCTGATTGATCTAATGTACCCATGGATCAAGTAAACTGGATATGCAGTACACATACAATTTTTAGGTCTTGAAAATACCTGCAAAAAGAGACATCTAGCATATTATTTTGCTTTCTATAGTATCTTCTCTTTAACTACTGCCATCTGTTGGAAATAAGATTAACTTTGAAATCCATAATGGATCATTTTATTTTAAAAAATTAAGGACAATCATAAAATAAAACAGAAGATCTGGGAAGTGTTCAGCATTTTATGAATCTGTTTATAAACATGTTAAGGTGGCCTTAAAAATCATTATTTGATTTCTTAGAAATAACATAGATGGCATAAGCTGGGGAGAAAGAAATATATAGAAAGCAAATAATATGATAAAGATGTCTCTTCTTTCAGGTATTCGTAGTAATACAAATATGAGTTGTCTGCTACAAGCTTTTTAGTCAGGAGGTTTCTACCTGCAAACACATCCAGATTACTTGATCCATGAATGTACCTTGCTGTTTGGGTTTAGCGCCTTTTCAGTGAGTGCCTGATAGAGAAACTGGTACAAGGGGTTCATCTCCTCTTCAGGGTTTACTAGAAACGCAACCTTCCCCTCCTGAACAACAACTATTACTGTATTTCTAATTATATTACTAGAAAATACGCAATTCAGTAGTTATTGTACACTGTACAGCTTGTGACTTTACAATCACAGTGTCTACAGTACATAGTAATCACATATTTAGTTGACTCTGCAGTCTGAAACTTTAGAGAGTGAGAGAACCAGCAACCCTCCCCAAAATTATTACTTTAAGTTTCGAACTCTGGCTTCCAAACCTCCACAACTGAATGTATGTACAGTAAACTTCCCCATTTAAACCGTAAAATCAGTACATAATTCTTTAGTCAAGCCGACTTAACAGCCTTTATATCAGCTAATTTTAAAGTGTACGATGTATATGCTTTGGATTTGCGGATTTTGCTTTGTACAAACCTCATCAGCTGACTGTACTTCAAGATCCATTGCATCTATTAGATCATCAACAGCTCCTAGTTGATCTGTACTCGCTGGTCTCCTAACAAAGCAGGAAAGAGTGAAATAAAGAAAGGAGGAAACTCAAAGTGAGACAATTATATTATAAATAGACAAAATATTAACAGTTGTTTTGATTGGTTAGGTACTATGCTTATAAAAGCATTGGAAAGGAAAGAACATTGACAGAAAACTTATCATTTAAGAATTGCTGATTTGGAAAGTTAACATTTTTGAACTTGACTTTGGAATTAGCTAATTGGGTCGGAAAACGGTTTTAGAAAAAACGCACGTTTATTGTTATCATACAATACATACATTTATCGGTGACTCATACCCCCTGAATAAACCAGCACCTGGGATCTATTAAAGGTGCAAACTGAAGTTCTCGTCTATCCTCTGCAAAAGGAAGATCCACATAGGAAAGAACTAGACCCCCCTCATCATCAAACTCAGGGGCTAGAACTCCTAAGCGGGGGGCAGTTGCTCGGTTATATACTCTCCTAGACAGTAGTATCATTATTATCATTGTTATCATTCATTTAAAAAATTTAAAACTCACAGGTAGGGTAGGTAGTATCATCATTATCATTGTTATCATTGATTTTACAATTGATGATTAACAATCTTTAACATAATTTTCTTTTCTTTTTGTCATCATTATAATTGTAAGATATATCATCAAAACAATAGCTATAGTAGCAATTCCGACTGGATTTTCCCCCACATGTTTTCTTCCCCTATACCTGACTATAGCTACCACCCCCATCTCCTGCATAGCCTGGGTTAGGACGGAGAGTGCCAGCTCACTGTTCTCATCCTCCTCTGTCTGCAGAAAAACCATTGATCCATTCCCAGATAGTTCACTCATCTTTATCTCATCCCTGTAAATTTTAATTTTTATTCAAACCATCACATACTATTTATGAATAAAAACAATTGTCCTAAAATAATATATTGTTCAAACCATATGGTTGTAATTCTTTGTGTTGCCAAAAAATACTTCAAAATGGTAACAAAATAGATAATGAACCCTCCAACACACAGCCTCAAAGCTACATCCTACAGTCCAGCCAAGCTACACCCTTACAGCCTTCAACCTACATTCTATACTGTATAGCCTCCAAGCTTCAGTTTAAAAGCCTTCAAACTTTCCTATACAGCCTTCTTGATAAACTCTACAACCTCCAAGCTTCACTCCACAGCCTCCTCGCTATACTCTACAGCCTCCAAGCTACAATCTACAGCCTCCGAGCTACACTCTACAGCCTCCGAGCTATACTCTACAGCCTCCAAGCTACAATCTACATCCTCCAAGCTACACTCTACAGCCTGCAAGCTATACTCTACAGCCAGCTACACTCTACTGCCTGCAAGCTATACTCTACTGCCTGCAAGCTATACTCTACAGCCTCCAAGATACACTCTACAGCCTTCAAGTTACACTCTACAGCCTCCAAGCTACACTCTACAGCCTCCAAGTTTTTTAAATTTTAACATTAACTTAACTTTTATTTGATTTAAGTGCTGTCCACGTTTCAGCATTTATTTCAGAAATAAAAATATGAGTTAAATGAATCATACAATTTACACGGTTCACTGGGGATATCACATATTCTGTATGTGTACTTTACTGTACTGTACGTGTACTGTACGTGTGCGGTACATAACATTTTCATTTATCTCCTGAGTTTTGGTTCGAGGTTTAGCCGTATAGCGGGGTTTCTCTGCTTCCCCCCTGAATATAAATCTAATTTGCTTTTGGGGTTACTTCTAACAAAATATAATTACATAAAAAAATCGACAGAACTATTTACAATGAGACCCATCAAACTGTGAAACAGCAAGACGATTGTTTGACTCAAGTTTGTATTTTAAATAGGCCAATGAACATGTGCAGTGCAAACAGACCCATTTCATGCAATAAGTTGATTTTTAAGCTTTTCATTTTTAACAACATTAAATACACAAAAGATTGCTTACATGTCGTCTTCATATTTCACAGTTTTATAGGTCTAACTGTATATTTGTTTACATTACCCACCCAGGTGTATCCTGTTGTACTGATCTGAATATCCGGTCCTATCTCCAGTAAAACCTTAACAAAAATAAACCATTAAAAACAAGAAATAAAACTTTTGTTTTTATAAGAACAAAAAAAATGATAAATGTTAATAAAAGAAAAGTTAAAAAAATACAGGAAAAAAATAAAAGAGAAAGGAAAAAAGAATACACCAACAAAAGNTTTCAATCAAAACATAGCTATCATTTTCAATCTAAACATAATTATCATTTTCAATCTAAACATAATCATCATTTTCAATTTAAACACAATTTCTTTTCAATCGAAACATAATTAAAATTTTCAATTTAAAAATAATTTTCATTTTCAATCTGAACATAATTATCATTTTCAATCTAAATATAATCATCATTTTCAATCTAAACATAATTATCATTTTCAATTTAAACATAATTATCATTTTCAACTTAATAATTATTATTTTCAATTCAAAAAAAAGTATTTCTACCAACAAAAATTAACTTTTCTAGTATTTTCATCACTATGGTTTTTAAAATCTTTATAAATCATCGCTTTTCAAATGTATTTGTGTATTCCTAATATTTTTTCAAAAAAATTTCATAGGAATTGATTTGATAAAATATAAGGGAGAGCAAATTCTAAGAATTATTTTTAGAAAATATAAGAGAAAGAAACCGAAAAGAAATTTTTTTTGAATGTTTAAAATTTTTTAGTCTAGATGATATGAATTCTGCGACGTATTTCTTTTATAATACTTTAAAAGTACTTTTTGTTCTGAAGTCGGAATTAATAAATAGCAAAAAGCTACTTTAACTAGATAAGTAAGGTGAAACTACTTCTATGAAAGAAGTAGTTTAACCAGCCATACCTAGTTCATTAATCTCAATCACTGCATATTACCTAAAGAGCAGGCTGTTCCCTCAGTTTGATGAATTATTTGGTTTATAACATTTTCATTTATCTCCTGAGTTTTGGTTCGAGGTTTAGCCGTATAGCGGGGTTTCTCTGCTTCCCCCCTGAATATAAATCATTTGGTTTACAGGGTGAGTCAAAAAAAGTGTGTTAAGTTTTGCATCTGTTTCTCCCATGTTTACAAATTATTTGGTTTACAGGGTGAGTCAAAAAAAAGTGTGTTAAGTTTTGCATCTGTTTCTCCCATGTATACCAATTATTTGGTTTACAGGGTGAGTCAAAAAAGTGTGATAAGTGTCTGTCTATGCTTCATCCCTGTAAAATAATCATTTTGCTTACAGGGTGAGCCAAAAAAGTAAGATACATGTAATCTCTGCTTCTCCCCTATATAAGAATTATTTGGCTTACAGGGTGAGTCAAAAAAAGTGTGATTAGTGTCGTCTCAGATTCTCCTCTGTATAAAATTTTTTTTGGTTTATAGAGTGAGTCAAAAAAAGTGTGATGTGTGTGGTGTCTTTTTCTCCCATGTATGGTGTAAAATAATAATTTGAAGGATTTCATCAAAGATAAGATATTTGCCAGGATAAAAATATGCTTAAATGAATAACATGCTACTTGGTGTCCCCATAAACATAGAAATATAAAAGACGATTAAGACAATAAACATCGACTTTGATTTCCGATAATCAATCAGAGTGAATAATAAGCTAAGATTGAATGATGTCTGTTTTACTTGTATCTTCAAATTGACGGAGATATCAAATGTTACATCAATTTTGTTGTTATTTAATCTGCAAAACATCTCTCCGTCAATTTTGAAGTACATACAGTGAGAGTCATAAAACTGTGGAGCACTATTAAAATACGTTATAATGGCGTTCGGAACAAAGATGATATAAAAGTCGTCACTAAATTACCACGTTTATTGGGACACGCTGTACAAAACTGATCAAGGGTATATATTTTGAAGAATGATTTTCATTCCAAGTTCTGGAAAAAAAATTGGAAAATTGGCTTTCAACTAAGGTGTCCCCTCTCCCCCATTTTATAACAAAACATTCTGAAAAGTAACGGGGGGGGGGGGAATTTAAAAAGCATAAAAAACTAATAAAAAAACATTAATAACATCCTTTTAAATTGAATCTTGAGAATCCAAGTGCTCATTAATAATTGTTCATGAAAGACCTCGAAGTTCCAGGTTTAGGTTCATCATTGTTCCCATTCATTCCATTAGGTTCATCTTCCTCGTCCTCATCTTTCCACTCCGGACCAATATGGGTAAGATCTACATTGTCGAGGAGTTTAATCCCGTTGATAATATCATCCATCTGATCAGCGTTTGCAGGACAGCCAAGATCACTGTATGTGTACAACCCTCACTTAGAATATATACGGAGGTATTAAAAGAACTGACAGCTATATTTGAAATCAAATGTAAATTTAAAAAATAGATCTTCATCAATCGTTTTTATTTGAAGAATTTGCGAGATCTAGTCTTCTAAAGAACTTGTTGTCAAAGGTTACCAATTTTCAGATAGATAAAATGAATACACATTCAATAATGTTTTTTTTAAGCTGTTACAATATATAATAGAAAACTCTACGTAGTTTAAGTTCAACATAACAGGGATAATATAAACTAAAGTGAGTATGTTCCTGAATAAAACAATCTTGAGGGTTGTGTACTTCTTCCCCTCACTCTCCCTTCTCAAGAAGTCGAGGGCCACCACCAGACCATCCACCCAATCCCCCTCAACCTCTGTACCCACTATATGCTCCCTTATACAAATTAATATGATAGAATTAATTTTTCCTCCATGTTTTATTGCCTGCTGGTAATAAAGAAAATTTAACATTAAACATAAACCACACAAAAAAAGACTTGGCCAAACTTATTTGTTGACGCGGCAAAATGGATGTTGAGACAGAATTCTGCACACGTTCCTCTTTGAACAGCAGAATGTAACCTTCAATATAAATAACCTTTTTACCTAAGATATTTCACAGTATCCCAATCAGCTCGACAAAACCCTCTTTTAGAAATCTGAAAAAAACAAACCAGATAATTTATAACAGAGAAATTTCAACTGACTTTCTGATTATAGAGATGCATGTCAGATTCACAACAGTAACCTTATAAGCGTTGTTAAACAAAATTGAGTAAACTATCTTTGTTTTTGATTTAGAAAATTGTTTGTAAAATTATTTTTTCGATAAGTGAACTTTCGGAATTCTGCTAAAGAAAAGCTGGAGAAATCTTTACAGTAATGTTTAAAGATAAAATATTCAAAGTGTACAATTGTGATTCGTGCATACCGTTCACTTTTAAAATAGAGGCTCACTTAATATTAAGAGACAGTCTCAGTATACAGGCCTCTATTATCTTCCCATGAGCTGAAGCTTCAACACAACTATACCTCGACGTTTTCGTAGCTGAGTGGATTTTTAGTTCCTTCTGTACCAAAGAAAACTAAACCAAACTCATCCTTACAATCACAAAATCTGTCAGAAATAAATTTTGAAAGTATGTCAATGTTTTATTCATAATAAATTTAAAATTGATTATGGATTTCTACAGAAAAGATAAGCAAAACAATTACCAATACCAAGCAAGCAAGACAATTACCATGATATAACAATTCTAAACTTATTTTTCTGATCTGATTCCTTTGTTTCTTCAAATAGTTTTCTCTCGACCAGCAATGAGGCGCACTCTGATATTAATAGTTTTTTATTTTTAAATTTTAACATTAACTTAACTTTTATTTGATTTAAGTGCTGTCCACGTTTCAGCATTTATTTCAGAAATAAAAATATGAGTTAAATGAACCATACAATTTACACGGTTCACTGGGGATATCACATATTCTGTATGTGTACTTTACTGTACTGTACGTGTACTGTACGTGTGCGGTACAGTACAGTACAATACAATACAGTTGTATACATTGACCGTAATTCTACGGCTTTCTACGTAATAAAAAAAACAATATGTATATATTGCATACGATCTATCAGAATAGAATAACTGACATTTAATAAAATGAATAAAATCTGAACGACTGTGTCGGACAAGTCGTCTTCTTCTCCGCCTCAATGTCTGCAGTAGAGTTCACTCAAGATGGAGTTCTGAAACCATACCATGATGTACTTAGTTCAGAAACCATACCATGATGTACTTAGTTCAGAATATATACCATGATGTACTTAGTTCAGAAACCATACCATGATGTACTTAGTTCTGAAAGCTCGAGTTTTAAATTAGTTTGGGACCGAATTCAATGAATTTGAGCTACGTTGCTTAACTAACTATTGCCCCCCCCCTCGTGCCCTCAAGAATTTAATACAGTTCCGAAAATACAGGGTTCGGAAAAATAGTTCTTTCTTGTAAATTGGCTTATTACAAGGACATCCAAAAAATCAATTTCTTTTTATTTTTAAATTAGCCGAAGTATGATTGAAGGATGGACGATCCAAAAAAATGAAGAACAAGAAATATAAAAATCTCAAAATATTTCCATCTGATATCATAAAAATTTTTAAAAATATTTAAAAATCTAATTAAAATAAATCATTAAAGTTAAAAATAAAAAAAGTTTATATCCATCTCTCTTTAAAATATTGTTTTTCGCCAATTTAAGTTGACTTTAAATACTAATTAAAACAGGGGAAATGAGTTTTTTTTTTCATGAAAACTTTGTACATTACCGAAAAATCATTTTAGAAAATTAATCAAGCTTAATGATAAAATAGATTTCTCTTTTTTAAATTGAAAAAAGAAACTGAATTTAATTAAAGAAATTTTTCTTCTTCTGAGAAATAAGAAAATTTGCCCTTTGCAATAACTTTTACATTTCTTTCTAATGCTTTCAGATTTAAATCTTTTTTTGAAAATTGAGTTGGAAAAATTATTTAATATATTTCAAAAGATATCTTGAGATTAAAGCTGTGCAATGTGGGAATAAATAATAATCCGGGATGAACATTTTCGTAAAAGAATCTTCTTAGATTTCTTATTTTTAGAGGAGAAAAAAAAATATTTTTTCTTGGTTAAAAACTAAAAAAAAGTAGCCAGCTGATGTTATATTTCTAATTTCCCCCCAAAATCTTCGCAAATAACCCCCCCCCCCCCCCCCCTATTAATATAATACCTTATTATTTATTACTCTGCACTGCAATGCAACGCAATATCTTAAATATCTAATATTTCATCTATCGAGCATCTTTTATCTGAAAACAAAAAATTAACAGAAATCTAGTTCAACATTGATTTATTTTATATTTTAATCCAAACAATAGCTGGTCAGAAGCTTGATTTTAATAAAAAGTATGAAAATCTGATTTAGCAAAATAGTGCAAATTGCTGTCTAAATTTTAATACATCATTGACAATGCAAACGACTGAAAAATCAACATCTCTTAAATTTTTTTTAAGTAATGTCAAATGATGGATAAATTACCCTACATTGAAATAGTGCCATCAAAGATTCGCAAGTTTATCCTTTGCGGATTATCTATATATCAACTTGTGGATTTCTTTATTTCTGTGACACCAACGACTGTCTTCCAGGTCAAACTCAAAAAGAACAAAAATCTCCGTTGTGAAACCAGTTACTTAATTCGGGGATATGGAAAAGTGTACAAATGTGAATTGTTAGTGGCACATTCCAAACGTAGGCTAACTTAAAATCTTCTGAACAGTCCGTTAAAATACTAATTTTCCAAGTTTACTAATGAGAGTATCAGCGAGGTTGATATACTCTGCTGAGACAATGGATGAAGGATGGGAGAGAAGAAGAGGTTTCCCTGTATCAGAACTATTCATCACAGCAGGGTCTAGAGGTATCTCACCTGACAATAATAATAATAATAATAATAATATCATAATAATAATGAAAATGATGTTCTTATAATTATTAATTATGGTTATGATAATTATGATAGTTATGATGATTATTGATTATGCTCATGACAATGAAAGTGACAGTGACAGTGACGATACTGATACTGATAGTGATACTAATACTGATAATGATAATGATAATAATAAAGATATTGGTAACGATATTGATAATGATAAATGATTATGTTCAATGTTCATTGATGAATGATGAATATTAAATGTTAAATTTTAAATGATGAATGTTTAATGTCAAAGATTGGATGGTGAATGATGAATAAAATGACCTATAATTGGAGTTCCCATCTCTCTCGCTAAACCCTGGACTCCATCCTGACCAAAGATATGGGTTTTCGAGCCACAGCTTCCACAGATAAAAACTAAGAAAGTTGGCCAAAAATTGTGGTTTCTTTTTTGAATAATTCATTTTGATTAAAAGAATACAGTCAAAAAACATATTTGTGTTGAATCAATTAGAGGCAGTTATTTTAATGTGAGGGTATATTCCTAGAGAACGATTTTTGGACGGTACCTGCTGCCTTGAATCCTCCA